CTTCCTGGAGGTATAATTGTATTGTAATCGTTAAAAGAACAAAGTTCATTGTACTAAACAGAGGTAAAATTATTTTCGTAAGCGTGAATTTTCTTTGTTTTTCCGCTGTACTCCACCAACTTTATGATGTCAAAGTTGTGATCGCGTGAAGCTTCGAAGTGCAAACGCGCAACTGCCAGTATATTTTGAACTCCATCAAGTGCAGAAGTAGCCAGCCATTTTCTCACTAATACGTTCTTATGCCAATAGTAGTAAATCTAAAAAAACTGAGTTTGTAAAAAGTAATACTACATTGAATAAAACAGATATGAGAAATAGTTTTGATCAACCCTATACATATTTCATGTTAAAAATAATGTTCACGAATTCAGTAAGAATCTAAATGATTGCTTTTCGTTTGAGAAACAATCACTTACATTATTATACATTTTAGTGATCAATCTCCTATAGATATAAAGCAGAAATTCTATGTGAATGTATGTATGTATGTTTGTTTGTATGTATGTATGTTCGGAATGCAAATTTTTGTATCTGAACTGATAAGACCAAAATTGTACAAACATACATTTCAGACGCCAACGGGTACCATAGGCTATTTTGTACAGTAGTTAGTCGTCTACTGGCATTGATTTGCGCATTTTTTAGCCAAATTACGTAATTTTTAAAAATGAAGTGAAATCAATCGTTATCAGACTACCTAAGGAAGATCATGCAGACCAATGTGGTTACTGAATGGAAGTACGTCAAAACGGAGTAGTTGCCTATTTGAACTAACGGGAGAGGCGGGTGAAAAAGGTAAGCATAATAATTAAGTTGCGTAGTCTTTTCTTGGCAAATCAACAAATAGAGAAGCTCTAAACGAGGAGCGGGTTCATATACAATCACATAGTACATACCCTCATTTTCAAGTATTTACCCTACTTAATAGATACGTTGATTTATGCCCACACAAATATGAGCAGTTCACACAAAATTAGATGAGATATGTTAGTCAGATGCAGAAAACGCTTAGAAAAATAAAAAGCCGAGCGAGGGCATGCCAGCTAGTATTCTAATAAAATTACTCAATTGGAGAAGAAATTTTCTCCATCTCCGCTGCTTTATCATCTCATCCCTTTTCTAGGCTCATTTCTTGGCACTCGTAGAGGTGTCGATAGTTTGCGCTCCTTTCAAGCCAAGCTTTCCGTAAACTCCAAAACAGATGTGCCACCTTTCATTCACGTAAAGATTTATGGGATCGAATCACAAAAACATTATTTGAATTTGAAGAATTTTGGTCCTTAGTTGTGGAGCAAAGCAGACTTATATCGGGAACCAACTATCACTCATGTAAACGTCTGCAAAAGCAAAGCAAGAACACAAACTGCAAATTATGATTCAG